GGCTCTGTTACCCCCTGGAGTATCAATCTGGGAATCATCATAGTTAATTTCACAGTTCCAGCACCTTTTGAAAGTTCTCCAGGCCTGGAATAAGAGAACCATGCGCACTACCCTGATGTTCTGCTGTAACTTGAAAACCAGTGAACATAACTTGATGAAATTTTGTAGTTCTTCTAATGCTTTTGCTATAAGTCTATCCTGAAAATTTCATTAAGATATCTCAATAAACAAAAAAGTTGGTGTCCGATGGTAGCCTCCCCCCTTAAAACCCAAATACTTGTTCTCAATGTGCAAAAGTTGACTTCTACGGACTTTTTTTTTCTCTCCCGTCGCGGAAAATGGGTGCCCGTTACAATTGATGTCCTACTTTTTTTTTTTCGTCGCGGAAATCGGGTGCGCGTTACAATCGAGGGCGCGGTAGAATCGAGTAAATACGATATGTGTGTGAATTTTTAAGGATTACGTTGTCTGTTGTTACTTGTCTGTTGTAATTGTTATGGCGCTCGGCTCTGATGGTCAAGAGTTCAATCCCGGCTGCGACGGTCGCTTTTCAATATAGGCGAAATGGTGAAGGCCTGAATAGTCAATGATGTCAGTGCATGTTAGAGAACACCAAATGGTCTAAATTTCTGGAGCCTTCTACAACGGTGTCTCTCGTAATTGTCTCTTGGTTTTGGGATGTAAATCTCCAAATTACAATATAATAAATAGTGCACGGCATTTGTTCCTCACAGAAGCTCCTGATCTCAATTCTATTGTGATGGGCGCATTACCTATTCCATCTGCTACACTTGCGGCATCACAAATAGTGGACTGTGAAGTGTAGACAATGTTTATTAAATTAAAAACAATAAAAAAGGAAATGCAAGGATTTGTGAAAATTCCGGTGCTTTCAAGTGTTTGAAGCTGCACCATGTTTCAAGAACTTTCAGAACACAAAGAACACGACTCCTGATCTGAGAAAACACCTGGTAAACCAGAAAATGTATAAAAATAAAATGCAGGTGGGAACGCCACTTCCGAGGTTTCTGCAGCAACATGCCGTGGTGCCATAAATTGTGGCAAAGGGCCTACATTATTATTTACAGGACAAAAGTTAATTGTACTGTTGCCAAAATATGAAAAATGACGAAATCTGTGCCATCAAATTGACATTCAGCCGCTACAAGTTCAAGAAAAAAGTTTTCATCTATATTTTCTTTACTAATAGTGAACCCACCCCCATCGAGATATTAAGGATGACTTGCTGGTGTGCACTGATTCAGCCTTTTGCTTTAGTGTTCCTTTAGATACAGTCGAGACCCGATAATTCAAAGCAACCTAATTGAAAATTTCGGTTTCAAGTCAACAAGTAGTCCCATCAATTTTGCATGCATGCCTATAAAAATTGCTTGATAATTCAAGTTTAAAGAACATAAGGTTGGTTAATTAGAAATTATTTTTCAATCGAAAGCCTTAAGATGACCGTAATTTTTCAATAACATGATGTAAGGGGGGACGCGGCACTTCGAGACCGAAAATCAGCCAAAAAATTGAGTTTTCGCAGACCTTCTTTTCGCGTTCCCGACATCATTGCGCACCTATTCACAAAATTTCATAGCCGAATACCATTAACTTTTATCGTTATTCAACTTTAAAAAACCGAAAACGGGCGTCCTGCCCTTTAAATTGAGGGCGAATAGCGCAGGTTTCGGCTCTACGATACGCGGGAACTACGCGCTCGATCGGCGCCACTTTGGTCTTGTTTGAAAGAACGCGTTTTCAGCTGTTTTTTTTATTCAGTAAGCAACATTGAGCGTTTCCCCGGCTCGAAAAACGGGGCCTCAAAGACGAAGAGTTGCGCTCACTGCCATTGGCTAAACGGCGCACGTGACTGAAATGGCGCTTTCCGGTTGGCTGGAAGCTCGCGGCTTGCGCCTGCATACGCGACCCGACGCCATTTTGAAAGGGTTACCGCTGTGACGCCTCGAAATCGGCAGAGCACTCTGAAGCTTCTGATCGTATCGCCATGCCTGGAAACGCAAAAAAGTATCGGACCGTGCACGCATTTGGTCGCAGGAAACGCAAAGGTCGTGGGAGAAAGTCTACGAAGTTATCAGAGCCCTTGGTTGACTCCGACGAACGATGTGTCGACGCTCCGCGGCCGTTCAGCGATGGTGCGACCGAGCGCGTTGCCTCCGACGACGATGACGGTGAAGCGAACTCCGGACGACTACGAATCGACGCCAAGGTGGTGACAAACGCCGAAGTTGAAGAAAATCATGCCCGGGAGAAAGCGACGCTCGACCGGCTTTCATCGGCGCCAGCAACTGCACGGAATATTGACTTGTTCACCGCGAGTTGTAGCGAGGCAACCGCACAGGACTCGGACCACGCTGCTCCTTATCTGCTTATGCATCTAGATATCCTAAACGCGATAATGGGTGCCTTGTGTTGCAAAGCCTGCCACGGACCGGCTACGATCGTCAGAGGGGATTGGGACTACGGACTTGCCGTGAAAGTGCTAGTGCAGTGTGAAAGGTGCGGCGAGATCGCGAATGAATGGACTTCGCCCCGCGCGAACGGCACGAAAACGTGCAATCCGTTTGAAGTAAATCTTCTCGCTTCGAGGGCGATGGTGGCTACCGGCAACGGCCAAACGAAAATGAACGATATTTTCGCAACAATGGGCATCTCACACCGCGGTATGCACCACAAGACGTTTCAGCGGCATTTGAAGAACACGCTGGCACCCGCTGCAACGCTAGCGGCTGAGTCCGCTATGAGCGAATGTGCGGAAAAGGTTAGAACAATTTATGATGACTTGTGCTTCGGCCACCGGGGCAATATTGCCGTTAGCTACGACGGCACGTGGAAGACGCGAGGCCATTCTTCCCACATCGGCGTGGGCACAGTTATCAAATTATTTAGTGGCTACGTGCTGGACTACGTCGTTCTTTCCAACTTTTGCCTAGGCTGCGAGGTGGGCCCAAAGCCTAGTAGTGAGGGCTATCAAGAATGGAAGGCTAACCACAAATGTCAAAAAAATACGAACAGCAAAGCGGGGCAAATGGAAGTGGAGGCGGCTCTAATTCTATTTCAGAGGTCGCTTGAACGCCATGGCCTACGCTACACAACTATGCTGTCTGATGGAGACTCTAGGACATTTTGCGCCATACAAGACGTCAAGGTGTATGGTTACATTGACGTGCAGAAGGAAGACTGTATTAATCATGTACAGAAACGGATGGGCACCGCATTGAGAAACCTGGTGCAGAAACAAAAGTGCGATGGGAAAAGAGGCCTTGGTGGGAAAGGCAGGCTCACAGGTGAGCTGATCACCAGGCTGAGCACATATGGCCGGGCTCTGAAATCGCATGAAGGTGACGTGGGCGAGATGCAAAAGGCTGTGATGGCCACATACCGCCACGTCACCTCCACTGATGAATGCTCGGACCACAGTCTGTGCCCAGCTGGTGAAACTTCATGGTGTCGGCACAATGCCGCAAAAGCAAAGGGTGAGCCCGACCCCAGGCATGCCTACAATCTACCGAAAGACGTGGCAGAGGCATTACTACCGGTTTATACCCGGCTTTCGGAAAGAGCCCTGCTTCAGAGGTGCGAACGCGGCAAAACGCAGAACTCCAACGAGAGCCTACATTCGGTAATCTGGAGTTTGGCCCCCAAGGAGCACCATGCGTCCCTGTTCGCTGTTGAAGCAGCTGTTGCAGAAGCAGTGCTGCGCTTCAACACGGGCAATTTGAATTCTGCAACGGCAATCTTAGGTGAAATGGACATGAATGCGACAAGTACTGGTGCCAGGAGAGCGAGAGAAAAAGACCACCGTCGCAGCATTGTCTCCAACAAGAAAGGAACAGCCTCATTGGAACTCCGGAAGCTAGTGAAGAGGAGGCATGAGCACAGAATGCATTCAGACTATGCTTCTGGTGCGTTTAGAGGTTGTCTTGTTGCATCTTCTGCAATAAAAATGTGTGCCCACGTTTTTTCTCGATTTCTCAAAACGACAATTTTCATGTGCTTCCCATTATGCCGGAGCAATATCTCTTGTTCTATCTGGGTTATCATTACGATTTCTTTTTTGTTTCGAAGATAAATGCAGGGGATGTGTCGTAAAGTAAATTTTATTGTAATAATTTTTGGAGAAAATTCTCTAAATGGATCTTTTGTTTCAAGTGTAGATGGGGAAATTTTTCATGTCATATTCAACATCCCACAACTTTGCTTCGAAATAGCCCAGAACAATGATTTATACTTTATTGCACACTGTGAACATACCGAATTGGTTCTATAGGTTGCACATCAATATCCAAGTTACAGTTAATTAGCTAATTAGGCCCTAATTGAAAAAGTCGCAGTTCATCATATCTTTAAAACTAATTGTCACAGCAAAAAAAGAATTAGATTTTTGAAATCAGCAGTAAAATCTACATAAGCTCTCCAAATTTGACTGAGGTACTCGCAAAAATAAGAGTTTTTGGAAGGTGTAGCATCCCCCCTTAAGTGCAAACAGGTGAACTCGACAACGATAGTTTTGAGGCTGTTCTTAGTCACGTCTGTTTTGAAAAATCCGTCACTAAGGACAGCAACGTCCATGTGCCCCCAACGAACGAAAAATTGTGCCGATGGCTTTGCTAGTGGACGATGACACAGAAACGAACCACCGCCAAGGACTACCGATGTTGTTGCGGGTCTAGCTCTTGCGCTGCAGTTTTCATGTTTAGTTGAAGAAGACAATGCGGAAGAAGCACTTTGACATCTGTAGTGCTTGGAAAACTTGCTAGCCACAGGCACGTTCGGCAAGAGAAGATAGACTATCTTAGAGGGCTGTCAGGTTTGAAGCAATAAATGTGCAGTTTTCCGTGCACTTTGGAAGTTCGTTTGAAAGTTTGTTTAATTGAAAGTGTAAATAGTAGTTCGTTTAATTTGAAGTTTTCTGCAGTTCTTGTGAACTATGTATTAACGGGAGTTGACTGTACAATTATAAGGACATGTCTCCTCACCTGTCCTTGAAAGGCGTTGATGATGAATTGCAGTGCTGAAGGGTCCACACACTCTATACACTTTTGTACAACGTGGTTGCCATTCTGGTCTTTTACACATTTCAGCACATGGCCGTCCAGCTCTTTCACAACCTCTTTCTGCACAAAACAAAACAACAGGATCATCATAGGAAGGAAAAACTAAATACAGTAAAACCTCGTTAATTCGAACTCTGTTAATTCGAAATCCCACTTAATTTGAAGGATATCCGTGGTCCCGTATTTCGCAATGTAGGTCTGAGTGGATAATTTCTCGCAGCGGCCGGCACTAGTTCGGTTAAGTAGAAAACTTTGGGTGCCTTGTGCCCATTCCAAATCCCAATAATTGCCACAAGGCAATACAACGTATCAATACTAATAAGTGGCAGCTGAAGACCCCAGTTTCGCTACTTCTAGCGGAAAAAAAAAAGAGAGAGAGAAGAAAAAACGGTCTCGTGATGAACCGAAACATGCGCCTGCGGAAAACGAGCCGTGCTTCACTGTAACACAGTGGTGACACACGGCAGCTTATTGTATGTTTCTCGCAACGTCAGTAGGTCATGGTTTACCCAGTCTTTCTGCGATTGTAAAGAAATTAATAGAGGACAGTTTAGCAGAAATCGCGATGCATGCAAACCTCCTATTGCTGGTTGCTCCAGCAATTCGAGCTTTGCACTGCTGGCGGAGTTCTTGACAAAATTACCTACTTCGAAAACCAAGTTCGAAAGTTTCAAAGATAATTTTTTTCCAGCCAAAACACATTGTGAGCTTCGTCCTACTGGCCATTAATAAATTCATAATTATAGTAGAAAGAATGTGCGAATGGTCGCATCATAGCGTGCTGACGCAATGAGGAGCAGGCAACATGCTGCCTGCGTGCGACTACTGTGTTGTAGTGAAGTTGTCTTGTTTTCTGCAGGCGCACATTTTAGTTGATCACCGACGTTTTTATTTTTTTTTCCCGCTGGCAGCAGCGAGGCTCACCGTTCCTCTATGTTCGCGGCAAAATAAAGACCAGGTATTGCTGGAAAACATAACCTTTGGAGCTGCAAGCTAGCCGGCACAGCAAAGGACGAGCACCGATTACTTTGAATAGTTCAAAGTTCTTTGCATCCCACTTTTAGTATGTTTAGTTAATTCGAAAGCCCGCTTATTTCAAAGCTTTCTTCCGGCCCCAGTGACTTCAAATTCACGAGGTTTTACTGTAATCAGCATGTCCGCATTCGCCTACTATACTGAAACCAAAAACTCTGTACTGCGTCACTGAAGCATGTATAATTAAAGTTCAACACGACAAACAGAAGTGCAAGACTTTGTTGCTCAACAATACACTCAATGATCCACAACCACATTCCCAACCTGCCCAACTCTCTTCGACCTACCCATACCGAGACCACACCAAACACACACAGGCACTCAGACCCGCACCCCAACACACGCTACCTCGCTCCATTCTATTTTTTGCAACATAAAGAATAAAAAAACACGACAGACTATGTAACCTTCGTTCCTCCCGCTTTTTAAGAAAGTGTGCAACAGGATACGAGAGGTGGTCTAGTAGGTAAAAGAACTTGTTGTTGGGCTAGTTGGTAGATCATTTCGAAAAGTTAATTAGAGCGCGAAAACTTGACACAATTGCTCACACACGCACACACCCATGCATCAAACACACAGCGCTCAACAGACTGCGCTCATCAAACACACAGCGCTCATCAAACACACAGCGCTCAAGTTTTCGCGCTCTAATTAACTTTTCGAAATGGTCTAGTAGGTAGTTCATAATCATTCAGTGAACTGGTAGTGTGGGGGGAACACTCACAAGAAGCAAAGAGGCACACAGCGCGAGCGCTCACTAACAACTGGTGTTCACCAGCTGCTAGTGAGTGCTTGTGCTGTATGCCTTTTTGTTTTTGTGTGTGTTCCCCTGCACTCCCAGATCACTGAACGATCAAGAAAGTGTGTTTACCCACCTGTTGGTCAGGCGAGATGGACTCGAGGGCCTTCTGGATGACACGGCAGCCGTACATCTGCAAAGCCAGGGGCAGCACATGCCCTTTGACCTTCAGTGCCAGAGCCTGCTTCTGCTCTGCACTGCCGAACTCAAAGAACTTTTGTATCACATAGTTGCCAAACACGTCGGTCATCAGGTTGTAGGCGGCTCCGAGTATCTCCGAGAACACCAGCTGCTTCTCTGCTAGTGTCGCTCGTTCGAGCTTCTGCTGAATGAACCTGCAACCAAAGAGGGTCACATTATCGCCGCTATACACGCGTACCTGACTCATCAGGTGTGCTTGCCAAGTAAGTTTGCCCCAAGAAAGGACGAGCTCATTTGCTAGCCCAATAAGGTACTCACTAACCAAGAGTCTGTGGGCCTTGATGTGGAGAGCGCCATGCTCTTCAAGTGAACACACACAGCGGTTGCGGTCGGAACAAACCAAAACACATATTTACTTGACTATTTTTGATCGAGATATCGTCAGCTAAATTATAATGCACATCAATTGTGATCCACACGCTAAACAACCTTACACAATATTACACAACACTCGAGAGCATAACATACACAATAACACGCAGAAGGCAGCTTCGCCAACTCTTGACTTACCACGAGGGCCCACCACAGACAGCCCGCGGTGCTGCCTACGGCAGATCCACCGCTAGAGACAATTGTTTGCCCTAACTGCCACCCGCCAAAGAGACCCGCTAATTTATTCTGTGTTGCCACCAAGCCTTGCCGCCAGGCGTCACTGCCGGCGCCACTATTTTAACCATGATGATGATGTTGGTGATACAAACTCTCGCGAGCATGCCACCTACCGCTCGGTAGTTGTGAACCTGAAGTGTGACCTATGCGCGAGACACATGCACCACGAGGCACAAACAACTTTACAAGGATGTTGGCACCCCACAAGTCGCAGGATGATCGGATGCACAAACGATGGGTCCATTGCTAGGGAGTCAGAGAAATTAATAACAATTGTTGGGGTTTCACGTCCCAAAACTCGGACACGATCATGAGGGATGTCACAGAGGAGGGCTACAGAATTTTTCTTGAAGAACACCCAATTAAAGTATATCAGATTCAAGCATTAGCTCTCGTTCAAAACGCGACTGCAGTGACACAGGTGCAATCCTGCGACTTTCAGGTCAGCAGTTGAGCACCATAACCACTAGACCACCGAATCGAGTGAGCTGATGAACTAAAATTCGCGTAACATGAAGAGAGAGAGAGCAGTAAAGTCACCATTGAGCACCTACCTGGAGCCATGCTGATCTTGGGAGAACTCAACTATGTGGTTGGCCAGGTCTCTGAGTTGAAGGTTAGGGTAGCGGTTATTTCGGAAGTCCTCTAAGAGGCGGCTGCGGCCAGGGGGCTTCTCCAGGCTCGAGCTGGAACAACAAATAGCAACATCACTTTTTTTCCATCAAGTTGTCTTCACAAAGTTAGGCTTACCGATAAGCCAATATAGCATTATTGAGGCAAGCATCACGATAAACAGTGGCCACAAAAAATCGAAATGGCACTGCGCCCACCTCCTAAGGGGGAGGTGCATTCGAAAAAGACTTTTGTTTGTCAACCTAGAGCAATGATATTTGGCAGGCATACTGAAGAGAGTCTCGAATAGCTATACAGAGTAGGCCGCTTATAATGTAAGTCACGGGAGTTGTAAAAATCTGCACTATAAACGGTACCATGTTTGTAATCAAAAACATGCTTTTTTCGGCTTTTGCCGATGCCTAAAGAGCAACCCACCTTTCAAAAGCAATTTATTATACTTCTCACTCGTGGACACATTCAACACAGTCACAACAGCAACAGGGGAACACAACAGCAAGTTCCCCAAGTCCGGCATCAACGAAAGAATGCCTTTGCTTTTGTCTGGCGATGCTCGAGAACAGCGCTTCGCACAGTTTCATCCTCGACAAAGCTCAAGCCCTGAAGCGATTTCTCGCTCAAATTGTTTTTCGCGCAGTATTTTATTTTGTGAGGTATTCTAACGCGTCATGGCGCGGGAAATCGAGTTCTGGCGTTGGGTCAACATCGTCCTTGCCATCCAACTTGTCGTCGGTTGCAACCTCCGCACTACCACGCACCGCTGCGACGATCGCGCCATTTGAGCTCGCTTAGTCGTAGACACTCAGATCCAACTCTCTGTATCGACAAAATCTCGGAAAGTGTCAGTGGTGGTTATGAACTAGCTGTCAACAAGGCCGGACTACATGTCGTCAGTGTTGACAGTCTTTCTGGCGACATTGTCACACGGCCACTGTGGCACGGCAAACAGAGAAGCACACACGACAAATGCAACTATGCACGAGACTGAAAAAAAAAAAAAAAAAGGCCCCGTATCTGCATGTTAATCTGCAAATGTCGTCGAAAGATGATAGTCTTGCGTCCGGAGAGAGTGAACAAAACGTTTATTTGATGTTCTGCGCAAGAAAACCGGTGAATGGCATTCTGGAGCATGTTAGAGTGCCTCGAGCGTGCAGCGAGGCGAACGAGCGCATCAAGTCATGTCACACGTGAGACATGAGTGCTATCTGGCAGTTATCTTAAAAAACGAAGCGCGCGACTCTGAGACGGCTGTGCACGCCCGTCTCAGAGGTGATAAGGTGTAGAACGCAAGGCGACGGGTAGGTACCGCTGTCACAGAACGAGCGCTAAAAAAGAGCGCGCCGCCAAATTCTTGCGACAACGGGCGAGAGAAACGCCGCGAGGTCAAAAAAAAAAAAAAAAAAAAAAAAAAAAGAAAGAAAGCAAACGTCCGAGGCTCCCCGGGCGCGCGCTCTCCCCGCGGAAGCGTGGCGTCGCAGACGAACCTCCTCACCCCACATCGGCGGCCGAGATAGCCCGCGATGTTTTTAGAACGAAGGAGGCGGGGCCACGCCGAGTTGACTCATCCGACGCGGAGGGCAGTCGAACCGTCTCGCGACTCTCCCCAGCCTTCGCTGCGCATCGCGCCGACGAATTGAGGAGAACTTTCTGGAAGGTGGCGCGGAACGTATTTAATCGAGCAGCCGAGACGAGAAATTAGGAGGAGACGGAAGTTAACGCCAGAGCGCGTAGGGATTCCGCCGTGTAGTCGGCGAAGGTTTTGGTCCGCAGGGACGAAGCCGGAGATGAAGAGGATTTCCACCTGAGGGGTGAAGGCTCGGGCTACAGGCAAGAGCGTGTGTTTACCGCTATTGAGCGAGGACGCGTGGCAACAGCTGCGTGTGTGAAGCCGACGTGTTCCGGCGAAGAAGTTGAAGTTGGAAGAGTGGCCAATTGAAGACGGGAGGTTTCCTGGAAGAGAAACCTCGAGAGCTGCGGAACGACAACAACGCTGGACTTTGAGTGAGTGATTCTCGGAAGAGTATCATCTCGACTTTGGTTCCAAGAACTTTGGACTGAATAGGTTTTCTATCTCTTTAGTTTTTAAGTGTCTTGGTTGTTCGATGCATGCGACTGCATTGTAGTGCGTATTGTTGTCTGTGTCCGTGGTTTCAATTGTGGCTGATTGTATTGTGAAGTACGTTGTTTGGTTGGTGACGTATTGTATGCAACTATTGTGGAATGTGCATTTTTGTGTATTGTTTTCGATCTGCCATTATTGAGAATATAATTTGTTGGTTTATCAACTCTCGGCTCCAACTTGTTCTTTGGGCCACAGCCGGCGTCCGCTGGCGCGCCAAAAAGGACCACTTCTAAATTGTCCACGCTTTCGTGGTGCGGTTCGGGGGGCCGATACTTCGGCCCTTGGAATTAGCCCGGCGATCGCCTCCCTAATTAACGGGACAGGTGTGACAATTAATCTGGCGTCCGCGACAGGACCTTTTGGTGCACAGTGTGTCCAAAGAAGTGAGAAAGAGCCTCGAGTTGTTGATACTGCTATCGGACCGATTTTGTGTGTTATTCAGTGTTCTCGTTAACGAGAACAAGGGAGTGTTCCGATAGACTGATTTAGGCAGATACTTTTTGCACGCGGCAAGGTTGTATTTGCGAGTTGCAAGACACAATGGATCTCGAAAAGTTAGTTGCGCTTGGTGAGAAGATGGGTCTTTCCGGCGCCGAACTACGGAAATGGGTAAGCCAGAAGGAGAAAGAGGTGGTGGAGAGAGAGAGGTTGGCGGCAGAGAGGGCCAAGGAAGAAAAGGCAGCCGAGTTGGAGAGAGAGAAGTTGGCAGCCGAAAGGGCGAGAGAAGAAAGAGAAGCGAGGGAGCGACAGCTGAAGGAAGAAAGAGAGGCAAAGGAGCGACAGCTGAAAGAAGAAAGAGAGGAAAGGGAGCGGCAGCACGAGATGGAACTCGAGCGGCTCCGTTTGCAACAGCGAAGCGAAACTCCCGTCCAAGCTAGAGTTGAAAGCAGCGAAAGGGAAGATCACGGCTTCCGCTTGAACCCAAGCAAGCTGCTCGTAGCGTTTGATGAAAGGAAGGACGACCTTGATGCGTACTTTCACCGATTTGAGACGACTGCGAAGAGCCAGAATTGGCCGGAACATCAATGGGCAACTGCTTTGAGTACTTGCTTGAGTGGTGAAGCGCTCAGTGTGTACGGTAGGCTGACGCCGACCGATGCAGCCAGCTATGCAAAGGTGAAAGCTGCTTTGCTGAAGCGATTTAGATTTACCGTGGAAGGATTCCGGGACAGATTTAGGACAGGAAAGCCAGCTGATGGAGAGACGGCTACGCAGTATGCCGCCCGACTTTGCCATTATTTCGACAGATGGATTGAACTTTCAGGGACAGCACAGGAGTACGATGAGCTTAGAGAGCTCCTAATTAGAGAACAATTTCTTACTAGTTGCCACCCAAGCCTGTCGCTGTATTTGAAAGAGAGGAAGGCCGAGTCACTTGAAGGAATGCTTGAATTGGCTGATCAATTCTTGGAAGCGCAAGGTGGCACTAATTTGGCCAAGGTAAAGAAGGAGTGTCCCGACGATTCGAAGAAATTGGCTCCCGAAGAAAAGAAGCGTGCACCAGAGAGCATTCCGCGATGTTTTCTGTTCAACCGAGTGGGTCATCGCGCGAAAAACTGTCGAACGATCTTTACGAGCCCTACGGTTGTAAAATGTTTCAAGTGTGGTCAGACTGGGCACAAAGCAGACGCTTGTCGGAACGGAGTGAGTCAAACTCACCAGGTATCCTGTGTGCAAGTGGCACCAAAATCTGATAATAATGCCGTCACAGATGGATTCGTAGAGTTGAAGAATGGGGAGAAAATTCCTATTGTGGGGGCTGTAATGACAAAACCGCCAACCAGTGTTTCGAAGGGAATGCCAACGCTGCCTGGAAAAATTGCGGACAAAAAGATTACGGTGTTAAGAGATACCGGCAGTTCCACTGTTATCGTGCGGAGAAATTTGGTACGGGAAAGAGAGTTGACAGGCAGAACGAAACCGGTTTGCCTAATTGACCGTACGGTCCGGATGCTTCCCGAAGCAGAAATTGAGGTTGAAACCCCGTACTTCAGCGGGAAGGTTACTGCTTTATGCATGACGATCCCCCTGTATGACCTTGTCATCGGAAACATCGACGGGGCGCGAGGGCCAAGTGATCCAGAATGTTTGGGAGAAGACCCGAAGATAGAGCCCTCGCCAACACAGCGGCCGCGAGATACAGTGGAGGAACATCCCGTGACGGATCTCACTAGAGCCCAAGGTGAAGCTGCGGCGCAAGAGACAGCGAAGGAGAAGACGATCGTGTCGAATCAGTTCACGGGCCGAGCAACCGGACTTACGTCGGCACGACCTCAACCGACCGACAGTGTAAAGGAGACGGAGTTGGCCAGCCGGGAAAAATGTAGAGATATGATCAAGCGGGTAAATAAACAGACAGGACCCGTCGAATGTAATGACTCGTTAACGGTGTCGGAAGAGACAGCGATGGCTGAGACGACGCCTCAGATATCGTCGTTGGAAAGGGCTCGCCGAAAAAGAACGTGGAAACACAAGAGGAGATCGAGCGAGCACCGCAAAAAGGGGCGCAAGCGCTGCTCGAAGTACTCGGGATAAGTGCTGAAGTCAAATCAGAATGGGTTTGGCAGTGCTGAGTGTCATATGTTGTGTTAATGTTGTGTTATCATGTGTCACAAGTGTCGAAGTGTTTGTGCTGTGATGTGATGTATAGTATTGTACCATTGTTGTAGTGAGAGACTTTGTACATTTGTATTATTGGGAATGTGTGCTGGAGTGTTGTACTCATGTGCTTGTGGTTGAGTTTTCACGTGTTGTGTAATTGAATTACAATGTACAATTGTATTAAGTGATCTATTGTGAATGTGAAGTGTCATGAGCAACTGATGGTGTTACAGTCTGTGAGAGTGTGTGGTGGCTTTTCGCGCTCGTTTGTGTGGTTTTGAATATTATGAGATAATATTCTTAAAGTGGGGGGCAGTGTCACAGAACGAG